ACTCCTCTCTTTGGCGGAGGACCAGAGAGAGATTGGGCCTTTTTCGGCGCCACTCTATTCGATCGCATGCGTCGCGGCCATTCTCAATCAAGGTCGGGGGCAAGGACGACGGGAATGGCGATCCGTGCGTCTACGCCATAGGCTTCGAGGGGGGGGGGGGGGAGGGCTCGGTGGCGGGCTTGGCGGAGGCGGCGAGGGCGGCGGCGAGGTGTCGTTCGAGGCGATCGTGGCGGCGATGGCGGCGTGGGCGGCGGATTAGGCTCGTCCTAGACAGCGTTTGTTTTGCGTGATGTGTGCCGCCGCCAGCGCGGGGCGATGAAGTTTCGACTGGAGAGCCACATGCCTGTTACGAGACCACGCGGCGCAAAATGTAATCTTGTTTACAGGACAGCTGTGCGAGAATAGGCTAGTCGCGCCGACCACACCCACAAAGAACCCCGCACAAAGATCGCACTTCGCAGGGCGGGGACTTGCTCCTTTTTACCCATCTCCCAGTAGCTCGAGGTGTCCGTGTGATTTATTTATTTATTGCAGACTCAGTACGTAAGGTAAGGAAGCTTCTCCCTTATGCGGAGACGGGCACTTATGAACCTTCATCAAGAGCGCGCAACCGGACGGACGGCGCCAACGCAGCGGCGCGCCGGGACAGAGGTCGAGAAAGGCAATTGAGGTGGGAATCCTCTCCCATCCACACGTACACGCGAGCCGCCAAGAAGCACTTCCTGGTCAGGCCGTTGCGGGTCGCCGCTTCCGGAAGACGAACTTCGGCATCGGCTGCGGCTGGACGGTGGTGCCTTGGTGGTACGGGATATCGAGCAGGCTCGTGATCGACGCGTCCTCGAGCTCAAACTCCCAGTCCTGCACCAGCTGCGCCACCATCGTCAGCAGCTCGAAGTTCGCAATCTTGTTGCCGGGGCACATCCGGGCGCCCGCCGAGAAGGGCGCGCGCAACAGCGGGTGGTCGATGACTTCCGCCGCCGTCCCCTTCCTCGCCACAACCGCGTCGGGGAGCCACCGCTCCGGGCGGAACTCGTGCGCGTCCGGCACCAGCGCCGGGTCATTCTGCGGCGAGAAGCTGTCGAGCATGACGAGGCTCCCGGCGGGCACGGTGTAGCCGCACATGTCGACCTCGGCGGCGGTCCGCTTCATGAGGCTCACGGGGATCGAAGGTCGCATCCGGTGCACCTCCCGCACCACCGACCGAAGGTACGGCAGCCACTGGCCGCGGCCACTCTGCGTGACCTCTGGCGTCAGACTGCCTCCGACGCCAAGCTCGCGCTGCAGCTCGGCGGCAAGCTTGCGCTGCGCCTCCCTGTCGACCGCCAGCTGAAGCAGGGTCCAGTTGACCAGCGAGGAGGTTGTGTCGACGGAGGCGGCCAGCAGGATGAACGAGATGCCCACGAGCGCCTCCTCCGTCACGTGCTCGTTCTTCAGCCGCCGGTCGAGCGCCGCGCGGAGGTACGAGGCCTGCTCATACTTGTTGAGCTCGCCCGCCTCCCACCGCTCCACAAACGAGCGCACGAGGCCCGACGCGTGCTCCATCGTCACGCTGAACTTGTCGCGCAGCAGCCGGGCATCGGCGCTCTCCACGCCGACTCTGTCTTTGAGCATCTCCACTGGGCTCTGCAGCATGGGCACGAGCAGCATCGTCGCGTCAAGTATCGCCTCTGCAAACTCGAGGTTGCCCGGCAGGCATGGCGTCGCGGGGTCGGCCGACTCGATCAGCTGCCCAAAGAATGCGGCGGTGAAGAGGTCGAAGCTGCTGCGGGCTGTGAAGCTGTCCATCGAGTCGGCGCAGGCCGGAGCGCCCCGGCTCGCAAGCTGCGCCGCCTTGGCGAGCCCCGGGATGTATCCTCGTGCGGCCTTTGGCGTCTGCAGGTCTTGCTGGAAGAACATGCGCTCCTGCCGCCAGGCCTCGCCGTGCCCGAAGATGTTTAGCGCGCCGCGCGTGGCGCCGCCGGGCTCGTCTGCGCCGGGCATCCGCTTGAGGGCAGAGATGGAGGGCCACTGCGTCTCGACCGCACCGGAGGGGTGCAGGCCTTCGCCTCGGATCACCTGCACGTACTCCTCCGGGTCGGAGCAGATGTAGATGGTGCCGTGCACACCTTCTCCGACGCCAGGAAACCCCATCGTATAGAAATGGCCCATTTTGGAGTAGCCGTTTGCGAACATCAAATAAATGTCCGGCGCGTTCGCCTTCGCCGCCCGCCGCTGCAGATGCCACACGTTGTCTGCCGGGAGGTTGAGCATACTGCCAATGACGGGATATGATCGGAGGCCAGGTGCCTGAGCCACGGAGCTCTGATGTCGAAGCTGGTCGAGGAGGACGGCCGCCCGGCGTCCCACTTTGGTGAAGCACTTCATCGGGGCCCGCTGGGAGCGCTAGGAAATCGTGGGCCACAGAAGAGAATTTTCACAGGCGTTCGGATATCCTACGGCTAGCGCATCACACTCCTCTCCTTAAAATCCCTGTGTGGTGGCGGCGTGCCGTCCTCCCATCCCTCCCTTGGGTTGTCTGTTTTCTTTCTTTCTTTCTTTTTTTGGATATCCTTTGGCCGCGTTGGGTAGCGAGGATTGGTGTAACCCGAGCCAGCCACGGAGGCGTGTTTTCTGACGGCCGACCGTCAGTGCACGGAGTTGCCACTTCTCCGACTGCCCCGGCTAGTTCCCGAGGTCGTCGGGTGTGACCCCTTCGTCCCCCGAGACCTAGCGCGGGTGGGTTGGAGGGGCCTCAGAAAGGCGCGCAAGCACGCCCTACGTCTTCCCCTCCTCCCCATCGGGCCGCGTGAGCGGCCACGCCTCGCAGATTCGTTTTCGCGCCTGGGTCACAACTCCCTCGCACAACACAACAACAACAACTCTCTCAACACTCTCTCTCTCTCTCTCAACACAATCAACACTGGGCACGGGATACATACATACATGCACTAACACAGGTACACCACTCGACAGAAGAGAAATTTACAACAAAACTCCCTCGCACAACACTGGGCACGGGACTGGCGCGCACTGGCACTAACTAACACAGGTGCGACAGAAGAGAATTTTACAACGAAGCTCCCTCGCACAACACTGGGCACGGGACTGGCGCGCACTGGCACTAACACAGGTACACCACGGGAGCCGCCTAAGCGACTCCTGCGAGGGTGGCGAGGCACTTAGCTCCGTGCACCCGCCCACCCCCGCCACAGGCAAGCTCATTCACGACCTGCTCTGCGATGGCCGTGTGAAGAACGACTGAGATGCGCTGCTTCTGCAGCCCCAGCCAGCTCTTGGTGGTCCAAGTCACCTCATCGAGGTACTGGGCCCGCGTCAGCTTGTTCTGTAGCATGTCCGCCGCCTTCCGGAGGATCTCACGGACCCCCTTTCCGAACCCGCCGAGAATTTTACAACAAAACTCCCTCGTACAACACTGGGCACGGGACTGGCGCGCACTGGCACTAACACAGGTACACCACGGGAGCAGGTAGGTAGGTAGGTAGGGGCAGGGCAAAGGAAAGGAAAACAGATGGGGCGCGAGAGGCAAACCTCGTACATCCCAAAAGAGAAAAGACCCAGGGAGGGCCTTTCGGGCTCGGGCCGCCCTCCCTCGCCCGCACCTTTGCGGGGCTTGCATGCAGGACCAAAAAGAAGCAACACAAAAACACAAAAGAAGAAGAAAGAAAACCGGGAACGTCGAGTACGTTCCCCCCTCGGAGGGGGCCGGACGAGGCGTACCCCGAGGGCCCCACTCTTTCCTTCGCATAGCGGCCACTCTTGAGAGAGAGAGAAAGGGTGAGAAAATGGAAAGCGGTGTAGGAGCTTTCACAGCCTGCGGCTTATATCTTCACAACCCACACAACCCACAGTGAAGTGCCGCCTAGCCGCCATGCAGAGAGACGCCTCCGGCGCGCCTCGCCCTGCCAGCGCGCCCAGCGACCCCGCCGCTGCGGCCGCGCGCTGAGCCGCCGTCAAGCGCGCGCGGATTTTCGCGCTGTGCCTGCTGCGCTGCGGCGACGCTGTGGCCGCGCGCTCGCCGCCTGAAGACTCCCTGGGCCTGCGTGTGGCACAGGCGCGTCGGAGGAGGAGGAGTCGGAGTTGTCGCAGTCGGAGAACGACGACGCCACGTGGGTGAGCTGGTTCTGCTCGCTCAAGGGCAACGAGTGCGCCGCGCTCCCCGCCCGCCGCCCACGCCTCTGCACGAGCCAGTGCCAGCCTCCCCGCCCACGGAGCCGCCGTCGGTGGCGGCGCGCGCGCTGCGCGCGTCCATCGTCGGCTGCTTCTGGCGGCGGCGCGGCGGCGCGCCCCTGCAGCGCGCGCTCTCGCATGCCCACAGATGCTCCTCCGCGCACGGCTGTCGCCATGTCGCCGCCTCAAAGCCCACTCTCTCCACACGTGCGACCCGCCGCCGGCGCGGCGCCGCCGACGCCCTGGGCGCGCCGGCTCGCGCAGGTTCTTCGTCGAGGTTGACGAGGACTTTATCCAGGACGACTTCAACCTCACCGGCCTCTCGACCCAGGTACGGCGCCGCAGGACAGACACTCTCTCTGTCTCTCCTCTGTCTCTCTGTCTCTCTGTCTCTCTGTCACAGACGTGCGCGTTTACCTCCCCTCCCCTCCCCTCCCCTCCCCTTACCTCACCTCACCTTCCCTTCCCCGCGCAGGTGCCCTTTTACGAGCACGCACTCGACCTCATCCTCGACGTCGACGCGCCGCGCGACGCCGGCCTCTCCGAGGAGCAGCAGGACTCGATCGAGGCGGCGGCGGAGCTGCTGTACGGGCTGATCCACGCGCGGTACATCATCACGCCGCGCGGCCTCGCGGGCATGCTCGACAAGTTCAAGCACATCCACTTTGGGCGCTGCCCGCGAGTGTTCTGCCAGGGGCAGGCGGTGCTGCCGGTCGG